GGTCAGCGTGTTTAGAACTGTTTTTTAAACCTGGAAACCCATAGTCGTGGCTAGGACCGGCTAGGAAAAACATATGTGTTTTTCAGTTCCCTGACCAAAAAACACACGCATTCGCTCACAGTCACTGACCAACCTTTTTCTTTTCCATTTGCTCGACCATCTGTGGGTGAGCTGCGGCTGGATGGTCCTGACCAGGCGCGCCCGGAAGGGCGGTGGGGTGCCAATGAATTTTATAGGTTCACGCACCGTTGGGACAAATTTGTGTTTGCGGCGTCAACTTTAGCTAGGTACATGTGCAATCTAGAACCTGCAAGATTCAGGTTGTATGAACTGTCGCGCGTTGCGGCTGCAAAACCAGAGCCATTTGGGACCGTCAACCATCCTACGCAGTCGCAAGCTAGACTCGTTTGAACACAATGGGCGAGCCCTTGGAGACTGCGATGGAATGTTGGAAAAGTTGCAGCCACTAGGCTTTGACGTTATACGAGTGCATGATACTGGTTTGATCACATGGTCTGTGTGTGTGCAGTCACGCGAGCTTTCATGGTTTTCCAAACTCTATGCGTTTGTGTACTTGGAACCTTGTCACCCTTTTGCGACGCTTTTTCCTGGCTGGCCCTAGGACCTGGGAAGGTGGCGTGGAAGCTGGTCGATGTTCAGGGGTTGGCCTGCACCATCAGATCCGGCCTACCTTTGTCTGTGGCGCAGGTGATCGAGTCTGCAGCATGGAAAGGTGGGCCACTGATCCAGTTGACGGATACAATCACACGACCTCAAGCAGACGACCTAGTTTTGAACCATTGCTGGATCAAACCTTTCGTCCAGAAATTTAGGGAGAAGGTGCCATCCGGCTTTTTTGTCGTTGACACATTCCTGTACCTCGACAAGTTGTACAACGGCAAGCTGCTGCAGCCCCTCAATGCTGGAGATAGCAAGCACTCTTTGGCTTCTGAAGAAGCAAAGAAGGTCAAACTTCTCATAGGGACCCTCAGAGCCCTGTGGAGAAGTAGCAAATTGGTTCAACTTAGAATTCTTCATGTTTGTTGGTTTAAGTTTGTTGGGCTTCATCGCTTGTGTGCAAGGGTGATCCGGTTACGCTGCAATCGTTCCAGGCAAAGCTGGAAGCCATCCGCGCATTTCTGAGCTGAAAGCCTTGCTTCTGCCATCTCCAACACGGTCAAAGGATTGGGATGGCAAACCAGTGCTGGTAAGGTTTCGATTTCACAGTCTCTGCATCTAACCTGAAATGGTTTCTAGTTGACACTGTCGCCGACCAATATTACATGGCATTTTGCGCTTGTGCAACGCAGGCCAAAGCATCGGATCCGCCTCCTGCGCATGATTCTGAAGACGATGATGGGGGTGAGGAGGAAGTTGGAGATCAGGAAATGGTTGGCCCCGAAGAGAACAGTTCTCCTGGTGAAGGGTCTGGCGATGAAGGTGATAGCCAGGAAACCATGTTTCTTGATGGCGGCATCCCCAAACCTCTGGCTCTTCGATCGCGTGGTGATGAAGGTGGTGACTCTGAGTCTGACTCGGATGATGAAGGCCCACCTCCTCTTGAATCCCCGAGTGGTGAAAACGATCTGGTGGCGACAACCTCGCCTGACGATGACTCACCCCCACCTGCTGCCTTGTGTGATGGTGCTGCCTCGGACCAGGGTGGCACAGACCAGGGTGACAGCAGTTCCACTTCCAGCTCAGCTGACGAAGAATCACTTCACACGCCAGACAAACGACCGTGGAATGAGGAGTTGTTCACCAGCCCTATGTGTGGGAACTCTGGGCCCCCCAGATCTCATATCGTTGAAATGTGTATCTCGCTGATGCAATTTTTTGGGTCGAATCACCCAGAGATAATGAAGAACCTCAGTGGCACATTTGAATTTGTATGTTTTTGTTTTTCAGAGTCTACTTCAGTCGCGACAGAACCTTGTTTCCCAGCCGTCGATGGGCCTAGTATAAGGAACTACCATTTGGTGAACTATATGGACCACTGCGAATGGGCATTCGCGCGGTTTGGATTGCGTGCGTCGAGCTGGTTGGCCACACCTGACTATTTTGACAGCTGGCTGAATCGCTTCAAAGAGCTTGGAAACAAGGTGCATGTATTGCCTTGATATTTCAGACAGTTCTTAGCTACATATCTCATACAACTTTATGTCGTTTGCTTGCAGGTGCTCAGCCCACAGGAGAGTGCAAAGTTGTCCCGATCTTGTCCTGAAGCTGGTGCTGCTGAAGCCGAGTTCCGAAAGACAACGCAGAAGGCCTTTGTTGAATTGTTTGTTGAACTGCTGTTGTTTCTTGAAGCAATTTGGTGTTCAGTCTGCAGTTTGGAGCCAAGCCTTCAATTTTAGCGTTTGTATTTCCAATGTGTTTTCTTTCCATGTCATCTTTCTAGGTCCAGCTGACTGCGCACACTTTCTCCAATGTAAGCTGTTCTATCACACGCCTGATCTAGGTGGACAGTGGAAGTGCAATGGGGAAGCTCTTGCGCCAGAATGCGCTTGATTCTGGGGAGCGGAAGGGCTACAGCGGTGGGCGCGATGGCAAGACCCCGTCTCTCCAGACACCTCCACCTTCTATGGGCGCTTTGGAGAGGGCTTTGGAATCTAACCTCACCCCGCCTCCAATCGGTATGCAGACAGCTACATGTCGGTTTAAGTCAGCGGTTTGCTTTTTAAATAATTTCCTGACACGTCGGTTGCTGATATCTGGGCGGTGTTTGGTTGCGCACTCGTGTTTTCGCGCAGTTTGGGGCAGGGTGACTTCGTGCGTTAAACTTCCATACATGGTGTTCGCTTGTGTTCAAGGCTACTGGTATGAAGCGTGCCCGAGAACCAGCCGGTGGTGACAAGCCACCCAAAAAGCCTAAAACGAAAGCTCCCAGCAAACCTTCATCGACCAGAGCCGAGTCAGGGGATTCGGATTCTGAGTGGGCTGCTGACAAGTTCAAGGGCTACAGTCTTCATGAAATCCCCCGAGAAGCATGGCCCCAACCAGCGAAGATGAATGCTGGACAGCATGGCTATACCGTGAGTGCCAGCAATGGTGCTGTGCTTTGGAGTCTAAATCACAACATGTTGATGCTTTCAGAGAATTCGAAAAAAGATGATAGCTGAACTGCTACAAATAAGCTATTGGTGTGTCCACAAATCCAGACCCCTTTGCTCACGCTCGCGCTGTCCTGCGTCCAAGGCAATCGAGTGTCTCCTCAAGAACAAGGCTTTTGTTGTGAAGAAGCTGGGAGGTGATGGCCCAGACAACCCTAAAGCCAGGGGACAATACACTTGGTCGAAACACGGTGGTGCGTCTGCAACATGGGAGGTAGCCAAAAAAGCTGCCCGTTGGCCTCAACCTTGAAGCCTTTTTTGGAGGGACTCTGCAAAGAGCATTTTGCTAGAGTAGGGGTCGATCACTTCTTGACAAGAAGTGCTGATTTGGGAATCTCTCAGGATGGAGCAGTTGGATGACCAAGCTATGAGCTTGATTGCGTTATGTTTTCCCAACCAGTGAAGAATGTAGCAACACACTTCCTGCTAGAAACAGCTGCTGCCTGAGGGTCTTAGCTAAATTCGGTTTGGGATCAGACGCCCAGTCCGACAGCAAAAGGAGTCCTGCGCCGCAAGCAGCTTCGCAGCGCAGCTCGCTCCAATGAAGGGGCTTCCAAAAATCAGTTCCTCAAGCGCTGACCCCGCAAACCGTGTGCAGGTGAGATCTTCATCAACACCGAGCTCTACTACCTGGCTGCCTGAAGGTCTTCAAATCCTGGAGGCCACGAAGTAGATTCCAAGACGTGAGCCTAACAACCACTGATAACCTGGTGACTCTTCTATGCTTGCCCAGTGCCCTTTTCCAAACAGCTTCAATGAACAGAGGTTGAGGGATTGTTCTTGTCCTCTGCACTTCTCTTGGTGGTTCCAGCCATGAATCAACAAAGGCGTCCAGCGAGAGCCACGCCACCAAAACAGATCCGTAGGTAGGAAAGCCATTCCTTTCCTTGGATGCCAGTCATTCTTTGCAGGCGGAACCTTCGACATCGAGCTCTACGACTTGGTTGTCGGAAACCGATTCCCTGAGGCCAGAAAAACAATACGGGCCTACGATCAGCCGCAGAAACACAACTTCTTAGAAGCCAGCTTTTGTGAGCTTTGGTGGGACCACCGATGCCCATCTTGAAGCTTCCAATCAAGGCCCTTCACTAAGGTGATTTCAGCCCTAACAGAAATACATGTCAAAGCTCCACTCCAAAGTCCTCAACAGCATGTTTCCTGTTGCCTTGCCAGGCGGTGCTGGTCAGCCACCCGACTGCCGAGGACATCTGGGAATGTATGAATGGGAGTCAACGCCAAGCCCCTCACCCAAAATAGGATAGTCCTGCACAAGAAGGAATCGGGCTCTGCTGCCGACTGAAATACTTCTAGACTCTATGACTTACACTTCTAATCTCGATTATATGATCGAAAAAGCGCTGCTGCGAATCGACGAAGGACTTGCTCCAGCTTTGGTGCATCGCTTTGATTGGTGGAGGCCTTGAATATATTTTTGGGCCAGCGCCACCAAACCACACCTAGTGAGGATAGCTGTAAAAGCACTGGAGTTGACCCATCTTCGACTCACAAGCCCAGTCACCCCCACCAAGATTCTTTGCCGCCTTTGCAGACCGTGCCAGAGGTTTGAGGAAAGCTCAAAGCCAGTTGGAGGTTCGCCTGCCCAGCGCGTCGGGGAGCATGTCGAGTGGGTCTGTCAAGGGAGTGTCTTTGAAACCCAGTTGGCAAACCTGCACACCAAAGCAAAATTGCTGCATCTTGCATGACCTGCGGCTCTCAGGTAAATCAGGTTCATTGGTGTTTGGTAGAAGGCTCGATCGTAAGTCCTAACTGATGGTGAAGGGAATTCCACTGATTGCTCGTCGAGCCAATGCCCGCATGCCGTACCGTGGGCGTGGCAAGGGGCACAGCAAGCCAACCACATGGAAGCAAAAGCAGCGGGTGTTCACTATGGCTGGCCTGAGAGCTCTTGGAGCACCATGGGCCAGGGTTCCAAATCCTCAGCTGTGAACTTTGCAGCCAACTCCCGGCTGTTTCGGTTCTGTGGTTGGTTCATTGTTCAAGTTCCAGTGGTTCACCCAAATTGCTAGTCCACCCACACAGTGACAGTTCCTTTTTGCGACCGTCCACAAAAAGAAAGAGATCAAACAAAAGGGTTGCCTGAAAGGCTTCAAGACTAAAGAAAATTGCGTTTTCCATGCCACCCCAACAGTCGGGAAATAAAGGGTCGTCCGGAGTCATCCCTGTAGGTTGTGATGGCCCTGTGCAGCTTGATGTTCAACTGCGCCTCTCTCTCGTGGAACCAACCGACTGACTATGTGGAACTGTTCGCGGGCGATTGCGCAATCAGTCGTGGCGAATACAAGGACTTCAATCTGAGATTCTGAACTTCTGTATGCCAAGAGTGGTCAAAATGCCAATGTTCCACTTGGATTGGCCTGCGAAAAAAAAGACCCCCACAAGTCCGGCTTTCCCCTTCAAAACCCTGCATTTCAGGCAGGTCGAACCGGACTTGTGGGGGTCTTTTTTTGCAGGCCAACCCAAGTGGAAAATTGCAAGGTCAAAAGGACACAAAACTGATACAGACGGTAAGGACCCTTACCGTCTGTATCAGTTTTGTGTCCTTTTGACCTTTCCTGGTATTTATAAACCATGATATGGCCAAGTGTTCGGGTTCCTGTGAAATGTCAACTCGCGCCCACTGAGGGAAGTAGAAATCAACATATTAGCTTCAGATTCCTGTGTACTTCTAAACAAAAGGAGAGTCCCGGATGTTTTCCCATGGTGGCCATTGTTTACGCCAGCACCAGTCCCAAGAGAGGTTGAGAGGACACTCTCTTGCCAATTGCGCGCCAGGAGTCTCGCAATGTGGTCCCCATGGATCTTCGCTTCGGCCCAGACCAGGACATCCTGAGCGATGCAGGATTCTCCAACATGTTGTATCAAGTCCTCAACCTCAAGCCTGGCGCAGCTCTTTGGGCTGCTCCAGTCTGCAGCACGTGGGTTTACATGAGCTTTGGAGAAGTGGTCGATCTATTTTCCGTAAAACATGTTTCCGTGGCCCGAAAGATTAGGCTCAGTATTGTCAAGTAGCTAAAAACTCAGAGTTTGGAAGGGCCAAACGATCTCAGGAGCAGAGGATCTACACAGAGGACTGCCAGCAATCCCATGGGGTCCAACATTGGAGTGACTGGCCTCCACAACATCATGGTAGGCCGAGTGGTCATTTTGCTGTGCCTGGCAATGGCCAAAAAGATCTGGTGGTGCTTGGAGCAGCCAAAAGGGTCTCTTTTAGAAGGCCACGAGCTATTTCAGCGCATGTTGGCCTTGCGACACACTGCAGTCAGCAGAGTGTCCTGCAGCTTGGGGCACTTTGGTGGGGAATCCCTGAAGCCAATCTGGGTCTACACCAGCCCCTCTTCTGGATGTGGAGTGCTTTCATGAAAGGTTTGAGGGGTTTAGACAACTGCAAGCAAAGCTTCCGGGGGCTTGCTAGACCACGACCGTCTTTAGCCCAGGTGAAGCCTATGCAGGAGCTTTCAACGACTATGCTGATCGATCACTGCGCCCCACCAATTCCCAGATGGTCACCCACTATGTAGACTCCAATGGAAAGCAGAGAATCAAAGGTGGACCGGAGCTCAAGAAGAGCCAATCCTATCCTCGAAGGCTCTTTGGCATTCATGTTCATGTTCCCAGTGTGCTGTGAAACACCACGCGCCATCCTTGTCCCAGAACCCCAACCTCCTGCCCAGGTTCGGAATGGCTGTAGCCAGGGTCCATTCTCGCCACTTGAAGCGGCAGCAAAGGGATGCATACCGCTTCCTGCGTCAGGCCATGAGTGGCAACGCGGCCCTAGATTTGAACAGCCGAGTGAGCAAGTTCTGGACCGACCAGGCAAATCTTGAACCTATTTTTCATTTCCTGTCAAAGCAGGTGTAGAAGTCACCAAATGATGTGACCCTACACCGAAATTTGTTTGAGCTGTGGAATAGCCACACGGAACAGCTTCTAATTTGATGTTGCTGAGCTAGGATGATGGGGTGGTGAGAGCAACAAAGGTTACGTTTACATGTTCTCTCAAGTTCTTTGGGTAACAAACCTGGGAAACGAGAGGTAACCGTGACACAACGCCAAACCCGCCCTCCAAACCCATGGCAGGTGATCAATGGGAAGACTGGTATTGAAAAGGGCGGCCTCTCAACAAGGCCAGGACTGCTGATTGGGTCATGTGGGAGGCCACATCAAAGGATTCTAGATCAGCAATTAGAATTTTACATGAAAACCAACATTTCTACAAAATCATGAACTTTCTCGGCATTTTCGCTAGTGCGATTTGGCGAGACATTCATGCGACCTGTAGCGACCTCTTGCGACCTGTAGACCAGCTCGCTTTTGAGATGGAATCTGCTGTTACTGTGCTCTGGGATCCCTTTTTGTGCTCAAAGTGCCCATCGTTTTGTTCTTGCTGCTGCCACACTGTGCGGCTTGGGATGGCAAAAGCTGCCCAAGCGAAGACGGCCAAAGGCAAGAGAGCGGCAGATTTGCCCCAGGTGCGCAAGTCAGCCTTGAAGAAGCCAGGGGCACGAAGTTCAGGCCATAGAGTCACGATCGACCCTGGCAAAAGTTTGTTGGATAGGAAGTCCAAGGGCACCTTGAAGAAAGGCGAGGCTGAGCAGATCCATTCAGAAGTGTTCAAGCGAGCTCGCGAAGCAGCAAAGGCCGCCAAAGGGGTCAGGTTGCCAGGGGGGAAGGAGTCTGACGACGGCCCGAAGGGGAAGAGCGACCAGAAGGAGAAGGGTGAGCAGAAGGAGAAGAGGGCCCACAAAAAGATTGAAAAGAAAGAGAAACGCAGTAAGAAGGAGAAGAGCAAGAAGGAGGAGGAGAGCCAGAAGAAGAAGAA